TATTTGGCGTCCTCTTCTTCTTCTTCTTCTTCTTCTTTTGCTGCTTCTCCCTCTTCTTCTTTTGCTGCTGCAGCTTTTTCATCTTCTTTTGCAGCTGCTGCTTCTTCTTCTGCTGCTGGCCTCTTCTTCTTTTGCTTCTTCTTCTTTTGCAGCTGCTGCTTTTTCTTTTCCTGCTTCTTCTTCTTTTTGCTCCCTCTTCTTCTTTTCTTCTTCTTTTTTGCAGCTGCTGCTTTTTCCTCTTCTTCTTTTGCTGCTTCTTCTTCTTTTGCAGCTGCTGCTTCTTCCTCTTCTTCTTTTGCTGCTTCTTCTTTTGCAGCTGCTGCTTTTTCCTCTTCTTCTTTTGCTGCTTCTTCTTCTTTTGCAGCTGCTGCTTTTTCCTCTTCTTCTTTTGCTGCCTCTTCTCCTTTTGCAGCTGCTGCTTCTTCCTCTTCTTTTTTCTTGCTTCTTCTTCGTTCGCTGCTGCTTCTTCTTATTCCTTTCCTGTTATACTTCTTCTATTGCTGCTTCTCTTCTTCTTTTGTTTCTTCTTCTTCTTTTGCTTCTGCTGCTGCTTCTCCTTCTTTTGCTACTGCTGCTTCTTTTTCTTCTTCTTTTGCTGATTTTCCTTCTTTTGCTGTCGCTGCTTTTTAGGCAAAATTCCTTTCCTTAAGAACCTTCTTCCTCTTTTTCATCTTCTTAATCTAAGGAAATATTCAATTTCTTATTTTTCTTAATTTTCATCCTCATCATTTAAGATAATATTCTTTTTCTTCTTATGAATTCTTTTCTTATGAATTCTTCTTTTTCTCCGCCTCCTTCACCTTCTTCTTCTTTTTCTTCTTCACTGTCTTGTAATCTTCTTTTTTAAACAAAGGAAACATACCTTTCCTTATAAAATTTTCATATAGGCAAATTTTATAAATAAAAACGATCGTTAATAAAAACAGTTTTTCTCATCGAAATTCCCTAGTTAAGTTTTTTCCTCGTTTTCTTCATCAATTTCCTTTTTGTTAGAAAATTATTTTTCATTCTCTGAAACAAATTTTCATCTTCAAAGCAAGTCTTTCTTTCATTCTGCTTATCAAGTCATCTTTATTCATCTTTGTAAGAAATCAATTTCAATCCAATTCAATTTTATTTCATATTTCAATATTTTTCTCAATCCTAATTTTTTTTCTTTCTCTTAATAGTTCTTCTTTCAAAGAAATCTTTTCTTTTCATTCATTTTCTTTCACTTTTGTCCTTCTATCTTTTTCTCAATAATTTTCATGAACATTAGGCAACTTTAATCTCTTTTTTTTTCTACTTCACCAGTCCTCTTTTTTCTCCTACTTTCTTTTCTGTTCTTTTTCTTCCTCTTTCGCCATATTTTCTCTTAATCTTCATATCGAAAACTTTTTCCTCGTTTATCCGCATCCTGTTCAAACTAAAACAAATTGGTTGACCGGTGTGATTAAAAGCTTTCACTCTCAGACAAATAGAATGAAAATGCAACAAATAAAAAAAAAACGCAAAGAACTGTTTCTGATCTTATTTCATCAAATACCATTTTTCTTGCTTTCTTCATAAAAGTAGTTATTATTATTATTATTATTATTATTATTATTATTATTATTTGCAAGATATTGCAAAGCCTCGCGACATAAGAGACTCTAAGAAGAAGGAAAAAACATTTCGAACGCCATATCAAATTTACACTCTAATTCAAGATTTTATATAATTTCGCTTTCACAATTGAATCTTGTTTTAGGTGCAGTACAACAAAGTAAAACTTTTAAAACGGAGAAAAGAATGTGTGTTAACCAATATAAGCATTTATTGCGGGGGAGGCGTGGTGTTGAAGGTGAAAATGATGCAATGTCTTGGAATTCTGAATTGCTTTATTCACTTTGAGCTCATGCCACTCCGAAAGATATGAACCAACATGTTTGCATAGATAGTCATTCCAGCAATGGCATTGTCACTGACATGTCACAATCTCTAACGGAAAAAAAAAAGATGATCGATTTAGCAACTTGGCAAACTACTTTCCGATAACAGAATAGAGATTACTTCACATTGTCTATCGGGGGGGGTCTGTTTTCAACGTCTAGACAGTGAGTTCTATAAAGCATTATAAAAAATAAAGGATACAAACCATCACTTCATTCTCCCTTCAATTACAGAAGACTGTAGTGAGAGGAAGTGTCACAGTTCTCCCCCGGAGAAGGTTCTTAGTCCCCAGGCGAATCATGTGCCGCTTACAACACACTAAACTCACTCCTATTCAGAAAATGTACAGGCTGCGAAATATAAATTGTCGTCTAAATTACGCGGAAATGAAAATAAGACTGACAACTCATTTTAACAGATATATTTACCAAAATTACACAAAAATATCTTGAATATCTTGAAAAAGTAAATTTATTCAATAAAATCACCATTGGCATCAACTACGGACTTTGGAATCACATGCAACTCTTCTGGACGAATGCTGCCAAAATCCTTGACTTCATTCAGTTCATTCTTTGCTGTTACAAGGAGTTTTGTTGGTTTCCCGCTCAACTGCGCACTACACACAATAATCAAGGGGATTGCAGTCTGGAGAGTTAAGTGGCCAGATTTAAGGGGGGATGTAGCCGTAGAAATTATCTGACAACCATGATTGGGTTCTCCTGTCTGTGAGGTATGGTGCAGAGTCCTGTTTCTAGGCATAGAATGTTCCAGCAGCCACCCTCTTGAACCTGGGTAGAACTACCTCCTCAAGGCACTTAATCGCAGTAACTTGTCTCTCGTCTTTAACGAAACTTGTATAAAAGAGGAATTGCTGGCCATATACACAATTATATACATACATAGGCGGGATGTGCGTTGTGGTGTAATGGAAATCGACTCGGAATGAAAGATCGGAGAGACGAGTTCGAATTTCAGTCGGGTCCACTTGCACTCAAATACCCCTCGGAAAGGTATAAATCAATCTCTTCTCTCCCCAGATATGGGTTGAATAACAGGACATGTCAACCAGTCTACCGTAGAAATAAAATGCGACCTACTGCGGGAAACTGTTTGCCTAGTCAGTCTTGAATCTAAAAAGACATGATCAACCACACGTATGGCATTTAACTGATATATATATATATATATATATATATATATATATATATATATATATATATATATATATAAATATCCCACTCCGACATTACTATTCGTCATGACAATCAGAGTAGTACTGTCGGTGTTGGGTATTATGTATTCTTATTAATTTTGTACTTACAAGCTCTGTTATTTAGCTCTGAGCATTGTTTACTTACATCAAATGTAATATGTATGTATTTGTATGTGAACACTTACACGTACATTTATTTGATTAAATCCATATATATGGATATACATAAATATATATATATCTTTTAACAACCTCCTTCAGAAATCTTCTACCTTGAGTTCCTCTTGAGCCTTTTATTGAGGGAACAACAGTAAAAAGAAAATTAATGGTTGCGCCTTTTGTCCATATATTTCTACAAATAATCCGAAAAAAGGTTATATATATATATATATATATATATATATATATATATATATATATATATATATATATATATAATATTTTTTTTCGTTACACAGTTCTAACCATGTTTCAAAATGGAAGCTAAAAGCCACGAATTTAATTTTTTGTGATTAAATCAAAGACATTATAATATTAATGCTCTGTAAATTTACATTGAGCACTATTTTGTAAAAATAAAAATATCTATAAGAACACCGGATTATATATCTTGCTGTTCTTTCTTTTTTATTATATATATATATATATATATATATATATATATATTCGTACGAATATGCATCAAAAGACTAACCAACCTAGCTATTCAGGATTGAAGAGAGGGAGAGTTATGAATTTGATGACGATGATATCGTTTTTAATGAAGGTTATCATTCGAATCTCGATTCTGTGGGCACCCAAAGTGACGTGACATCAGTAACAAAGACGACAACCAGACATTTGGATAAAATCTATATCCATTCGTATCATTCTGCATTTCCGATTACTTCCGTAACGCAAATTCGGTTGATTACAGATTCACGGACTATCAACCTTCTGTGAATTAAAGCTGAAACATATTTGTGAACGTATGAAAGAAATAGAGTGCTAATATTGCTTTAACAACATTTTTAGAGTAACGATTTTTTTCCAGATACAAGTCGTACTATTTAACCCACAGCTAGGGGAGGAGATTTGCACCTAATTGAATTTAACGAACCCGACCCGTGACGCATGAAGTCTTGAAATAATACTATTTGCTCAACATATCAAGGAATATCGGTCTGGTTTCAGGAATCAACGTGTTAATATTAAACGTCTTTTCTGGATCAATATTGCAGTGTATCCCGAGGTTGAGGTCGTTAGTTTTCATTTGAGTCAGTAGTTAGTCCCACAATGATGGCGAATGTTAATTTTAAAGACAAATAACCGAGTAGGGTTTCTCATTTGGTACAACACAAACTTCATGACTGTTACCTTTATTTAGCTCTTGACTTAACTCAGTTTATTAAATATCATTATTGTATCAACACTACGCAAGTCGGTTAAATGAGCATTCCATTTGCAATGTGAATATTAAATCGAAGAATGACGAAACAGATTTCATGTCAAGCCTAACACAAAGGCGAACATCACCAAGAATTGTGTATACTCTGTATCTCATCCTTTGCAGTTGTGACAAAGTATACAAAGGTGAAACTAGTCGATCCCAAAAAGTAAGGATACAAGAACATCAGGGACAATAATGGGAATGAAATCAGGTATTGTTGATTATATATGAAGAGAAAATCCATGTTAAATGAATTAAATCACTGGAAAATCTGATGTTTGAAGGAGTCAGCGCATATGCTAAACAATGACTGCCTCCACAGTAGGTGTGCAGTAGGTGGTCAAAATGTGTGCAGTAGGTGTGCAATAGATGTGTAGTAGGTATGCAATAAATGTGTAATCTGTGTGCAGTAGGTGAGCAGTAGCTGCGCAATAGATGTTCAGAAGGTATGCAATAGGTGGGCAGTAAGTGTGCAGTAGGTGTAGCAGAAATATGGGAGCCATTAATTAAAAAAGAAAAGAGAAACGTCAGCTGAAAGAATTAAGATTCATGGCATGGCTTTAACAGCAGCAGTAAGAAAGGCGACAGCAAGGGAGGTGAAGCCTCACAGCAAAGCTGAAGCATGTAGGCTTGTGCTTATACACGTTACAGTTAAGATTTCAGGATTGTCCCACTGGAGGATTAAAGATTTGTTTCATTAATTTGATGCTATAGTAATTGTGAGTTCAATTCCAGAGCTAGGTATTGCCGATTCTGACTCAGTGGAAACAGAGCGAGCAATAACTGAGCCGTACTAAAATAGAAGAATCTACTCCCGTAAGTTAAAGTTATTCAGAAATTCCTTGACGGTTACTCGGGTCAAGAGACGGAAACCACAGCAAATATCAAAGATGAGTACATTAATCTAAATGTAAATAATGATAAATTCCTCATCGGACATATTCGGACAGAAATCAAAAATATTTGAAGAAATTTATTTCTAATTTATTTTTAACATGATTCGTTTTTACATATCGAACAAGCAATAAATCTTTTACAAGTATTATGTAATCCAATGTATCCTTATGAGAAAAT